GCTCCTGTCTCTTGACATTTCGAGTCACGCGTAAAAGGGCCTCGTGTGAGAGGTTGACACGACGAAAGGCACCGAGAGTTGGGTGGCGCGTCCTTATGGCCATTAAATTACGGTATATGGGGTGCGCAATATCTTGGAGAATAAGATACCGAAGCGTCTGCTCATTGTAGACTCCTATTGTCGCGGGACTGTCTTTAGCAGTCCTTTTTTGCCTTATAATAGTAACTTACTTTTACATTTTTCAGTAACCCGACTTTCCATTTTTCGTTAAAGTCCGCCAAAATAAGGTTGAATTTCCCCAAATGGTATCAGTATCCTGAGCAACAAGATTTTCATTTTGATGGATTTGATTCTCTTTAGTACATTAAAACAAATATGTTTCTTTAATTTATTTTTTTGAATAATTCCACCACAATTTAAGATGCATTTACGCACAATTTAATATTCATTTGCGCACAATAACCAAGAATTAAATGTTTGGCCACAAAAAACTGATGACAGTGGGGCGGGGGAATATATATTCAGGAGCCCTACAAGACAGTTGTAATAAAATATCAAATATAAATGAAAGATAAACACCAGTGACAACACGAGGCATACGAGGGATAGTATGCCCTCATTGAACTGGAAGGAAAGCAAAAGCGCAGTAAAGATTGAGTCACTGTTCCTCGACCAAATAACAGTAATCTTCTCTTTTTCATCGTTGGGTTACTGGGCATGTTCCTCCCGTCGTGCTTTGGGCCTCCATTTGCCTATACTACTAGTCGCTGTGTGAGTACTTGTGGGGCTCAGAGCACAACGTAATGGGCATGTCCAGTGCAACTCCATCGGCGAGTGCGTTTCCAAATTAACAGCATCCTTCTTCTCTTTCTTTTTGTCAATTCCACGCAGCTATCTTTCACGCTCACGCACGCCCTTCTCTTTACCTTCCTCCTGGTTGTGCTGACAACCAATCTCATCGTCGCATTCGCCTGCAACTTCGAGATGCGCAAGGGATACGGCATTGCACTCATCACCGCTTATGCAGTCTTCCTCACACTGGCTATCCTCATTGAGGCGGACGTCATCACCTCGCCCAAACAGTGGCACTTACTCACGGGCACGGAATAGGGCCTTCCTGCATCCCCACCGCCATCGCTGCCT